GTAATGAGAGCTGGGCGCACTTTTGGTACTCCATTCCATTCGCATCCAATCCAACATACAGATATATTAAAAAAAAACTAGGCATAAATAAATTATTTAATTCGCTTTTATACGTTTCTTCCTCTCTTTCTTTGTAGTTTAAAAAAAATGGAACGCATATATGCTAATTACTATCCAAATAAAATTGTTTAAACGACAAGTTAGCAGAAGAAAGTTTAATAACAACAAATTATATTGAAACACATCTATGGAATTAAGTAATTTATTTCATTGCTATTACCATTTGTTTCATCGCAATCCACAGTTATTTGTTTTAGACAAGACAGCGAAACAATCGCTATAGACGACTGACCTCTTGACAAAGTTCCTGTCTGCGTTGCGTCCGGTCGATACAGCGCAAAGCGAACAAATAATCGGTGAAAACCTGCAACGTTTGATTCAATCATTGATATAACCTTCATTCTCCTATGTTACAACAATATAAATAATTCTGACATATATATTTAGCGGCAGTAACACTGAACTGCGATGCTTTTTAGTTACTTTAGGGCAATATGATAATTATGAAAGATTAGCCTGTATGCAAAACAGTATTCTGCCTTGTGCCTCGCACACACATGTACACACATCGTTTGTTACAAACCTTTCATTATGCATTATGTTGTGGTTCATTTTAACTAATTACTCAGATCCTTCTTCCTTCTATCAGCTTCCTGACAGCACCCGACTAAAGTTGACATCGAGTCAAAATGCAATTAGTCATAGCTGCAAAACTTCAAATTCAACTACTACGGAATTATATGCGTATGTATGTATCCAATTAAATGCAAATGAGGATTTATGTTACATATTATACCCTTAACACACACTCAAGAAGTCTACTGGCTCCTCTGAAGTATTTGTGCTTCTGTGAATGATTCTTAGTTAAATCGTGACTGAGTTTGAGGAATGGAAGGGTTGGGGAGAGCCGAAGCAATCTCGAACATAATTATTCCCAAGTAATTATAAGACATATAATAAGATTTTATCGCGATTAGTGTTCTGTTGCGTGTAAGATTCACTTACAGCTGGATTACTTATTAAATATAATTATTTTAGAAGCCAACGACAGTTAACTCACATCGACTTAAATTTTCAAGATTTCAGCTAATCTTCTGCGTTCACCATTTTGGGTTACATTGCAACTATTACTGAACTAACCCTCATTTGAAATAAAACTTAACTTCCTTTTCTACAATTTTTATATAACTTAACCAATGAATCAAAAGTTACGTATTATCTGAAATATCATTCAATAAATATCTTGATGACACATACATTTCCGTATAATATCCAATTTGTCTTTCCTTTTTATTACTATTTCACCTGATGATTGTGAATCTCTGAATTCGCCAAATGCTTAAGTGTCTTCTAGTTCAGACAAGATAAATTTTTGTAATGACATCGATTTGTTTGACCATAGATTATAAAGTAAAAGTAAAGTAACAGCCTATACATGTCCCACTGCTGGGCAAAAGCCTCCTCTATACAGAGGGTATCAGGGCATAGTCCACCACGCGGCCCCACTGTGGATTGGCGGACTTCACATATCTTCGAAATATTTTTTTTTTCTTATTATTTCGAAAATATGCAGGTTTCCTCACGATGTTTTCCTACACCGCGGAGCACGTGATAAGTCAGCACTAAAAGTTAAAAACTTCATTGGTGCCGGCACCGGGGATCGAACTCAGGTTGCTCGAGTATATTGAATTAAAGGCGAGCGCCCGGACACTGAGCTATCACGGCTCTTACCATAGATTATAAGACAATATTTTATTTAAACCGTGCTTTGATCATGTATAATAAAATGTAAGAATGTTCTTTTTCTTTTTGTGTTGAACTCACTATTTTCATTTAACGTCCTAAAATTACAAGAAGTGAGATGGGAAGACGATGTTTACTGCACGTCGAAACAGAAAACTCATTGTTGTAAAAGAATCCCATGCTTTATTGTAAGTGCATTAAGCAAATTAACCGCAGAGTCGCTTTCACCGCTTCCGTAAGAAATTCGCTACCATCTGTCTGCCCTCACGTGAGACCCGATATCCACAGGATAATTGTGGCGAGTGCGTCTGTTCGACATCCTTTGCTTCGCTTTGCTTCGCTTTGCTTCGCTGCGTTCACGATTCTCCCATACTAATAATAATGTAATGTTAAAAAAATCGCCTTCTAAGAAACAACTCAACTGACATTAGTCACCATATGACAGCGATTTAATTACAGATGATAAAGAAATATTATTCTTATTTTTGTATATTTTTTTCTGTTCTATTACTGCGGTTTGGCGGACTTCTCATATTTTCGAAATATTTTTTTTGTTATTATTTCGAAAACATGCAGGTATCCTCACGATGTTTTCCTTCACCGCTGAGCACGTGATAATTAGGCGCTTAAAATTAACAACTTCATATCTGAAGTCAGTCCACTGTTAAATATTGAAATCACATACATTAGAGACGCGTCCATGTAAATATTGTATTTGTCCATAATTTTTTTTCTTCAATTCTGTGTGTACCGAAGTTTATGCAGTCCAATTCCACTGACGTTGTTGTTGTTGTTATATTGACCTACATTGCCACTCGAATATATTAATACCAACGATTACATAAAGGGTAGATAACGATAAAAATATCCATCGCATCATGGAACAATTGTCGATATCGATTAGGCTTGTAAATTTTCCACTTGTTTAGGTTTGAACAGTTGACAAATAAATATATCGGATTACGTCATGATTTCAATCTTTAAAAAAATATCTTTGCGGAAATCTGTACGCTGTTATGTGGTGCACTGGCTATTATCAGATATAAAGTTGTTGAATTATTTGGGTGACGTACGCACATCTCTTAGTTTTTGGCTGATAGCACATCAAGGTTCACTATCCATTCGAATTTTATAGTTGCGCAAAACACCAACTGAACTGCATTCATAGTTTCTAAATTACAAACACAATAAAAAGGTAGACTGTACTTTATTATTTGTATTTGAAGAGCAAAACAGATCAACGGGATCAATTAACAAAGTAACTATTTTTTAAAGTAACAATTAACAAAGATAGGAAATACGAGGGTGCGATTAAAAGTTCGCTGAATGGTGGGGTTGGGGCAGTAGGCTCGTTCCGAAGCACCGTCCAAGAAATTTAAGGTGTCACAATCAGCCGGAAGACTCTTGGCGACTCATGGTGACGTTTTTTGGGACTCGGAAAGAATCTCTTTCATCGATTATAAGGATAAAGGTGTCTCTAAAACTGGACAATACTACACAAAAATCCTGGAGTGGTTAAAAGAAGCTATAAAAGAGAAAAGAAGAGGAGATTTAAGCACAGTTCTCCTGCTCTTGCACGACAATGCGTCTGTCCCCAAGAGCCGTTTTGCAGGGGCAGCCCAGCTCAAGCTATAAATATTTACAATCACTCACCTAGACCTGGCTTCGAGTGATTATTACCTCTTTCCAAAGATGAAAAAATAGTTTCATAGGAAGGAATATACCACCGATGAAGAAGTTAAAGAAGCTGTTCTCTACTATATATTTCCAACAAGGAATACACATTTTTTCTGAGGGTATAAATAAACTAATCGAAAAATCTCTAAATGTTACAGGAGAATATACAGAAAATGGAGAATAATTTAGAAATTTTATATTCCCACCTTTATTCTGCGAATTTAAAAACGCCACTCGTATATAAAAAAAAATATAGGCTGTAATTCAAAACCCTTGATTTAACTGTGGTAGGACCACACAACAGTATTCGCTGCTGCACGAAAAGGCAGGTCCGTCCGGGTTAGTTCCAAGACCTCACAGGACCTCACAGGCCCACATTATTAAAAGGTGGCAACACATCTGCAATCGGTGTTGCAAATGTCCGTGGGCGGCGGTTATCACTTAACATCAGGTGAACCGCCAGCTCGTTTGCCACTTTCTCACTTAAAAAAAACATGAGTATTGTCAGAACTAAATTTAACCTAAAGCTTTATATAACGTTACCAAGTTAAGCCTAATGCTAAAACTCAATAAAGTAGCGTGTTACCGGATCAGCTGTTCTCATATAAGTTCACAGCAAACCTCTTAGCCGAGCGGAACAACATAACAAAAAACTCACCCCAACTAACAACTAAAGCTGACAACGTCTTCAAGTTTTTGTTTTCTTTTTTCATACTGTTTGATCATTTATGTGGACGTTAATAAAGGAAAACTGGACGCACAACAAAGTTAACTTATTTTTATTTCACGAATTCATTTTAATGTTAAGATGAATTGATAATTATTTTAACATGTCAATTAATTCTAACCAGAAAGAGAATGAATAGAAACTTCACTTTAAAAGTTGGATTCGTTCAATAGCGATCATTAAATATTACCACTTACTTGTACTATACTTACGACTTACGATTATATTATAGACTAGCTGTGCCAGCAACTTCGTCCGCGTGGACATTAAAATAAAAAAAATTCTAAAATAGGAGTAGCCTAAGTTACTCCTTATTACATCGGCTATCTGTCAGTGAAAGTCCCCTCCAAATCGGTCCAGCCGTTTCAGAGATTAGCCAGAACAAACAGACAGACAGATAGACAAAAATTGTATAAAATGTTATTTTGGTATATGTATCATGTATACATCCATATTCATTTAGTAAAAATTGGTTATTTTAATATTACAAAAAAACACTTCAATTTCAGTTATCTGTATAGATATAGACGTTCAGAAATTTCAGTTTGTATAATTGTTTTATAAAATAACATAACGCTATAGTATTTATAACTTTCTTAAACTAGTACTAAATGAAATAATCATTTTTGATAATTATTGCATAATAGTGTTACCAAAATCGTAATAATGTATATCCATATAGAACGGTATAGAAAATGCAATTGATAAAATAAATACAAGGCAAGGCTTGGCTGCTAAGTGCGACCTTCGGAACCTGGTTGACTGGGAGCGTCGTGTAACGAACGACTCGACAATGCCAGGGGAACAAGTGGGCCTGCAGAACTGGCTTAGCAACAGGCCCCTCGGCCTTCGCCTCAGTTTCATTTGTAAACACCTAGCGCGCCAGAGGTCAAAGCAAAGTCAACCCAACGGCTCAAGAGTTACCTTTGAAAATTGCTCAGCGCGGCCACAATCGGCGCACCGCATATGGAATCGTGAATTGTGCGTCTTCGAGTATAGAGTAGGAAGTCGTGTGTGAGCGAGAGTGCATCAAGTCGTACGTCAATCTCGAGTGGCGAGTCCGTTGGGAATTACATTTTAAAACGACGGGTAACGATTGATATTGCTTTGGAGGGGGTCGAGTGCATGTCTGTCCACCCACGCAGGTACTGGTAGGGGTGGATGGGGAAAAAGTTGAAGATTGATGTTTGTTTTTGTGGACTTGACAAAAAATGGGTTAAGTGTTTGTACTTGTTTTTATTTTCGTTAAGTTAACATGTGTAACCGGAGATCCTATTATTTCTGGGACTGCTCCGCTGCCTAGTCGGTTCTGGGAGAGTTTCGATGGTTTTTTTTATCGATTGTCTCTGCGCACATGTGGGATAGGCTTCTTGAATAATGGCTCTATTCTATTCAGTTTACTCTAACACGGTTTTGTTTCTTGCGTCTTGTCGATGAAATCAATTATTATACGCGTATGTTCATCGGGCTGCCTCTGGGCGTCAGGGTAAGGTCGTTTCAGTGTATTATTTTCCGTTTCTTCGTTGAATTTGGTCGGATAAAAATAAGAAAATAACAACGTTTTATTACCCGACCATTCATTTATTTCATATTACTTTTCATGTATACGTAAGGAAGAATGTGTAATAGCGACTTCTTGGCAGACTTAAAGTAGGCGCGTAAGTGACGATGTTTTTAAAAGTTATGTTCTTAATTCTACGTTAAACTGGAACAATGCACTTTACACAAGGCTCACGGTGATATAGTGCTCACTATGTACTGTCAACTCTTTCAGGGCACGGTATCTTACGAGTTAGCATACAATCTTTGAAACTGCAGTCTGACAACTGAAGCGGATATAATCGAAAATGGTGGACACAGTCTGAAAGAGCGCTCGTATGGAAGATCAAAGGCAGACACGGCGCTGAAGCGTTGCGAATATGTCGAGCACCTCCGTCGCATACGCCAAAATGTAATTTCGCCGAGATTCCGTGAAAGGTGAGAATTCCGCAATCGCCTCGATGCAATCGTACCGAAATTCGTTTGACTATTATGCAAAATCTAGCATGTTTCACCAACCTTTATGTCTTTCAATATTGACGAAGTAGACGGAGATACATAACTAATGCTTTTAACATGTTATCGTGCATTAAAGTGATTTATGATTAATAGAATAAACATTAATAATGCTTTCAATACTGTGGACTTTGACATCTTACTGGGGCTGCTGCGCTCTCTTAACATATCTCCAACGGCTATTGACTGGTTTAGTAGTTACCTGTATGGGCGCAAGCAGCGTGTTAAGAGTGAAGATGCCTTCTCCTCCTGGTGTGATACACGTGCAGGCGTACCGCAGGGTGGCGTTCTTTCCCCTTTACTCTTCACGATCTTCATAAACAATTTAACTCATTTATTAACATCTTCGTACCACCTGTATGCAGACGACCTCCAAATTTACGCACAGGCACCCGTTCGCGACTTACACGTAGCGGTGTGTTCCATCAACACCGAACTCTCTCGCATATCCGAATGGAGTCGCTCTTATGGTCTCACAGTGAACCCTAAAAAGACTCAGGTAATTGTGGTGGGTAGCCCTTGGTTCATATCTAGAGTTGACTTTGATCAACTACCTCCAGTTATGTTTGATGGCGTCCATATACCATACAGCGATACTGTTAAAAATCTCGGCGTGATATTTGATAAGACCTTATCCTGGAAGCCACATATCGCTGACGTGAGTAAAAAGTTGTTTTCAGCGTATCACTCCTTAAGACGACCGCGGAATCTCTTACCGACCAGCACTAAAATCTCGCTTGTACAGACCCTACTTCTACCTATCCTTGATTACGCTGATTCGTCTAATCCCGACCTTACAGAAGAGATGCTTAGTAAACTCGAGCGCCTCCAAAACCTTTCTATTAGATTTATCTTCAACCTACGCAAGTACGACCATGTCTCTTCTTATCGTACTCAGTTAAATTGGCTCCCGATCCGTCGTCGAAGGGATTTTCACGTTCTCTCCCTACTTTATTCAATCCTGTTTAACCCTTCGACTCCTTCGTATCTAAAAGAAAGTTTTAAATACCAGTCCATTTCTATTGATCGTTCACTCCGTTCTTCTCGTGATCGCTCGCTTTCAATGCCTTCTCATACCACTGATTTCTATGCCTTTTCTTTTACCATCCAAGCTGTGAAGCTCTGGAACTCACTCCCTGTGTCTATAAGACAAGCCCCGTCCCTTTACACTTTTAAGAAGCACCTGAAAGCCCATCTCCTTTCCCTTCCTGTCTAATTTCATCCCAACGTTACTTTTTCCTCTGAGCTTTGGTTGTCAGTTTTTTATTGTTTTTTTTTGCTACCTTCACACTTATTAATAAGTATTTGTTAATATGCATATATATGTATGTGTATTTATATATGTATATATATATATATATATATATATATATACAGCGTGTCGTTACCATCGCGACAATAAATGAACACACATATAGGGGATAATTTTTTAAAGTTGTATTAAACATTTAAATTCTTTAAACATCAATATTATTAAATTTAGTTATTAAATTTTCCAAAACAAAGAATTTTAGAACACCCTTACCTATAAAAGCGTAACGTAAAGTTCATTTGTAAAGGTCACAAAGCATATGAATGGGTTTAATGAATTTAAAAGAGACAAAACATACTCTTAGAAGGAGAGGCTTGTAATGCGACGCTGTGGCGCTAGTTGTATAGGATGTTACAAATTTTGTTTCTTTTTTACTTAATTAGTTTGTTTGAAAAATATTTTTTTTTTAATTAGGGATTTTGTTTAACGTTAATATTTTTTTATGATTATTGGCAAGTAGCGTTAGACGTGTGTTCATTTATTGTCGCGATGGTAACGACACGCTGTATATATATATATATATATATATATATATATATATATATATATATATTATAGTATAAGTATTTGTATTAGGTATTTGTTATTATATAGATATGTATTATATTAGATGATTTTATTTTTCTACATATATATTACAGTAATTATATTTGCACTATTATCCCGCAACTTTATTATCTAATCCTATACCCTAAGGTTGCCTGGAAGAAATTGCTACCTTAGCAATAAGGCCGCCTGTATGTACACTATCTTTCCGGTATTTTCTTCTTTGTATTTCCTTGTGTGCAATAAAGTATATTCAATTCAATTCAATTAAGTTTAGTGTCTCTAGAATCTCTTTTCCGCTGGTTTTGTGACCGCTAGGCTTTATGCTATAGTCCCCTAAATGAAAGCATGACGTCGTTCATCCAAAAAATAGGTACATCGAGTGAATTCTTCGAACAACAGCAAAAAAAACGCGGAGAAATCCAAGAGTTAAAAAAACGTTTAACGAATCATTCTAACATCGAGAATATTTGCGAATTGTACAACGAAACGAACCCAGCAACACCGGGAAGTGCTAGTTTTGAGCGCAGTGAAAACAATAGGCCGAGTGTATGGGCTTCGAATCGGTATTATGTCCGTTGGCCGGCCCCAGGCGATTGTTGGCAGCTGGCGAGTGAGAGCGCTTCGTTGCCAAATTAACATATGCACATGTAAGATGTCTTTACGTGGTACGTTCCGCTGTCTGTTCAACCGCCACCAGCCGTGCTAACTTTCCACTGGGCTCTGCTCGTCGGAAATGCATCTTAATGCCAACTGTTTCGGTTTCGTATTGGACATCTGGTTCGAAGCCTCGCTGGCCTTTAATAGCAAGAAAGAAAGAAACATTTGTGTTCGCCCAACGCTACCCTAGTAGACTCGGGTTGTTTATGTAATGATGGAGAATAGCTCCGAAAGATCTAGAAACGTTCGGCTCCACATAAACTACTGCGAAAATCCAGTTGATGAAATGATAATAGAATTTAGTAAATAAATTCAATTAAACTCTTTTTCCACACTAAGGATGGCATCTATTATCCAATATTATTGTCTAAGAAGACTAAAAATTATTAGTTAGTTTATAAGCGAGCTGGCGGTCCACTTAATGTTAAGTGTTTACGTCGGCCTATGACATCTAAGTGGGCCCTGGTTACCTCACTTAGCAGACGAAGCGCCAAAGTATAATACTCTACTTCACGCGTCTTCTCTGATGGACGGGGTAAATCCCCGGACGAGCGTGCAACATCAAAAGCTGCCACAGCAGAGTGTAGAAGAAGAGATTGTGCGTGCTTTTGTGTACAACTCGACATACATTACAAAAAGTATAATGTGTAGTAATTGAAGTGTATATATGACAAAATATTTTCAGATAATGATTTTATCGTAATATAGTATAAATAACGCTAGATAAGTCATCAGCTATTTGTCGCACCATCTGGATCCCATCTGCGGTCTTGTAGCAGGATTTAGATTGTTGGCTTTATTTAGTTGTTGCTACGTGCTACAAGCAGCACAGATTATTTAACAGTACCATTTCATAGTTTCAGAAACAATATATGGAAATTTAAACTGTGGCAGGGCCACGCAACAATGTACGCTGTTGCACGAATGGGCAGGTCCGCCCAAGCTCATACCACGACCTCACATAAGTCCCGCGTGAAGTACAAGTGTTACACTTTTGCGTTTCGTCTGGTGAGTGTGGTAGCCGGGGCCCGCTTTATTAAAAGGTGGCAACGTGTCTGCGACCCTACGGCTGTTGCAAATGTCCATGCGGTTATCATTTAACATCAGGTGAACCGCGGGCTCGTTTGCCACTTTCTAATTTAAAAAAAATACAACCATGTACATAGATATATATTTATAAATGTGAATTAGGTTTTCACAATTACAAGCTTACGACAATATTCGAAGACACATTTCTTTAATATTTTTAAATTATCAATTTATATTAAAATTTATTATTATTTTGTTCATATGCTAGTAGCACTTAGCACGTAACTTAAAATGTAGTTTTTTTTTGTAATTGTAATTTTTAAAGATTACTTACGATTCGTACCCGCATCATTAACGTTTCAATTTTAAAATTTAACAGAAAGAAGTAATAAAGGCAATAATAAATATTTTGATCTAATGTTGTAGAGGTAAGACGCTGTATCATGTAGAACACACATATGTATGTATGAATATACTCACAAACACGAGCAAGCTAATGGTGAAATAAGTACTGGGTTAGCATAAGATGATTATGCTTTAATCTAACGTATAAAAAGTCATTTTATTGGAGCGCAATTGCGATACTTATGAAGTCATATTTTCTCCGAGCTGAACAAAGAAGCCAGTACATTTCCACACCAGTTGTGAGATAGCTGATCATCCGTCCTTGTCGGGTGAAAAAAGGGTCTAAATTATGACGCAATGATAGCCCGGGCACCCCTGCATCCTCTAACTGAAATGCATTGAGTCTTAAGACTATCGTAATAAGGAGGATTATCACATGCAACGATAATACATATGACGAAATCGTAGGGCGATTATAGGCTAAGAGCGGATGCTAAAGAATAATAATTTCATATTAGATTACCTTTTTTGTGTTTCGTTACTACGTATGAATGGATATTCCGTGATTTTAAACAAATTTATATTAACCATAGAATACTCGTGTTACGTCTTTCATTTGCTACGAAGAAAATTATTAACTGTCCCTTAACGTGTTATATGAGATACATTTTATTCAGTCGTATGAATAGTCGAGGGGCAGCAACATATTTTCACTTAGCAAAATTCTGACTAACATATACAAAATGTTGTAATGTAATACCGGCACATTATTTTCTATAACAACTCAGAGCCCTCCCACCAAAACCTGCTTTAAAAAAAAAATTTTTTTTTGTCTATGATTTACAATGAATTGTGAAGTTACAAAGTCAAAATAAGTAATATTCTTTAGAAAAACTACAGTTAGGTTTCTCTAATGCTTAATAATAATGTTATTATTTAGCTCCACAATTATTTGAACCTTATTATTTCTTTTCTTTCAAGACAATTAGTAAAAAATACGACAAAATATTTTGTATGTTAACATAATATTATGTTTTATTGTGTATTTATACAAGATGATTACGAAAATGTGGTCCATACCTGAAAGTTTTCCTCAATAATTATAATACTGAAAAGCTGAAAGCTGAAAATCTGTGACTGTAATTGCTATGAAGTATTTAATTTTACTTATTTTAATCAGTTCAGCTGATTCGAGACGGACGATTCGAACATACGAAATAAAAATGATAGTTATCGTAAACAAAATGTAAGCTCATGCTCTAATAACATCGCTTACTTATCTATTGTTCATGTAAATTTATGTTAATCATTAAAAGTAGCGTAGTACCAAAAATATTACACAGACATACATGCACGTGTTAATCGCATTAAGTTTTATCTTTTAGCCATCACCATCTCAAGCTTTGTTTGTACTGCAATTATTATACATATGTACCGTAATAACAAACGCATGAAAAATTAATAAAATCTGTAAATATGGAAAGTTTGCAAGGGTAAAGTTGTAGTTTTCGCGCAAGCCAATCGGTTCTGATTCTCAATAACACATTGTCTTTTTAATGTCAAGGGAAGGTAAGGTAATAATAACGATTGAAATAATTACGTAAGTAATGTCAGTGGAGCGATAATATACAGATAAATATGCATGCATGTGACTCACCAATGCCTTTGTTAATGCAGGCCGTCGTTTGTTGTTTTCATGACTTTTAACACGTTTTTTTTTTCCTTAGCTGAAGCCAAATTGGCGCCGCTGTATGATTTATTAAAACGTGTGCCTTGAAAGAGACAGATAAATGTGCTATGAGTAGAGCTTGTTTCGTTTTTCTCGGTGGATGATATACGTGAATCAGATACAACAACGTATAACGCTAATATATAGGCAAAAGTGTTAGTCATGTACAAAACTCCCAGTCGGTACTTCTCACTTTGTTTCACAAAAATAACTCAATTTTTACGTTTAAAATGACGACCAGAATAATTTTGTTTATTATATAATTTTGAAACTAAATTTTAGTCGGTATTTTTTACCGGCTGCTGGTCTATGAGCGCATCTAACCCTTCACTTCTGAATAGAATCGGTGGATTTATTTTATTTATGCCGCGCTCTCTGCCGGGCCCGTCACGATGTGGGTTGAATATACACTATAAACCTTTATGGGGCCCAGTAGATACGAGTTCCACAGATAACGCGGCCACTCCGGCCCTTTTTATTCTCCTTAAGAGTTATAATAATTTGTGTAGGCGACCGTGTTCGGAGATGAGCGTATCTCCGAACACGGTCGCTCAGTCCGGGGTACCGAGTTTTATTTTAAGAGCCCGTTATGCCGTTTAATGTTCATCTTGCGTCTACGACAATCGAACGGTCGTTGCAATAAATTGGACGTCGAATCATTTTTATTTATTGTCAATGACTTAAATAACTTAAAAGATATAATATTAACGCCCGGTTTCTGAAACACTGACTATTAAGAAGATCATTCTGATCAATTCAAAGTGTTTGACCATCCGTTTGGCAACTCGAATGACATTTGAAAAGCCATTTGATTGCTGATTAGTTAACTTCTACGATGATCAGTGTTTAAGAAGCCGGGCATAAGAGTCCTATTACTTTAAGAGGTCAAAAGAAAAATTTAAGTATAATTTTTATAAACGCATGAAACTAAAGAAGAGACAGCAAGAAATTACATTGGTTACCGATCGTTAAAAAATTATAATTAACATCGATAGTCGATCTAAACTTTCTACCTGCTATTTTTAGTAACGCATGGGCCTTGGGGCGTTATAATTAAGGTACGGGCGTTCGCAGGTGGGGTGTACAGCGGCCCGGATCGCAACCTGTAGCCTACCTGATTTTTACTACAGGTATAAGGTTACGCGGCTTTTCGCGTGTTTTATTATACATCATTGACGGAAGCCCCCATCGGGACGTGCCTTTGAATAGCGGATCTCGCATTCGGGCACCCGTCTACGGGAACGGCCACATCTTTTCAGTAGCGACGGAAGCAGTTACACATTCTATTGTAAGTCTCCTAAACGGCCTTGGGATTATCGTATAATAGATGTCCTGTTGCACTTTACCTTCATAAGGGACCCGAGTCCCAAAGCTTTGGGATGTCGATTTCGTATTTAACGACTGATAAATGGCAACCTTTTAAATCGAACAAGTAGTATCACAGTCTTTCACCAGTCTAGCATAGTCTGGAATTGACTATCGTAGGACCACGCAGCTGTTTCTGCCGTTTTAAGATTCCCGGCTCGTCTAGGATTTTCACGATCTTACAGAAGACTTTGTTAAGGATTACTAATGCATATGCAACCCCTCGCTTGTTGTAGATGCCCATAGGCGGCGGCAATCACTTAAAATCAGGTGAACCGCCTGTCCCTTGCTAACTTCACCCAAAAAAAATGTGATCGGCCTTTTGGCTGGTGTGAGATAATCGGAATCTTTTGTTCTATCCTTTTGATAGGCAACAATGATGTCACTACATAATATAAAACAAAGTCGTCCCGCTGTCTGTCTGTCCCTATGTATGTTTAGAGCATTAAAACTACGCATCGGATCTCGATGCGTTTTTTTTTACTAGATAGTTATTCAAGAGGAAGGTTTATATGTATAATACATTCGTGCGAAGGCGGGGCGGGTCGCTAGTTTAATAATATAGATGTCCATACTGCGCCGCGTTTAAAAATTGTTCCGCTTTATACCATAGACTTTATAGCATAGACTACTATATATAGAATTACACCAATTGATGTAATTTGAGCGCCTCAATTGCCAGTGCCATTTATTATCTATATTTGTTTATAATGCCATTGATAGCCAAGGCATCTGCGGTAAAAATATCATTTGTGTCATGAAAAATCATTAAATTGAAGTACCACTTTATTTTCGAAACAGGTTTGAAGAGTGGGCTGGGTGTAGCAATCGCGGGGATACCGGTTCGTTTCCTTCGCCCGGCCACTTCCCGCCGAGCATCGCCGGTCCCGGGACTAAGCGAGGCTGGCCCTTCCTACGGACAAGCTTTGCTCCGGACAAACAAGCGTCAACTAGAGTCAACTCTAGAGTCAATACAATGGGATCACTCCGGGATCATATTCCGACTTGAAATGACCATTAACAGCTCGCTTTTGTTCTATTAGGCCACGTTGTCTACTTTGTACAAGATGGGAGCTTAGGCAGCTTAAGCAGAAAATGAATATGTTACATCATTATTTCATTGAGAATGACCCTCGCAACTATTACACTTATCAAGCGGAATAGGACATAGCTGTTATTTCTATTATACTGTCATTTCTATTATACAGGCAAATCATCGATGTTTATACGTCTTTATTACTTATAAACAGTACAAACAAGAATGTCTTTTATAACTTAGTCTTTTGTAGTGCATACAGAATTACTATGTTCTCTTCGTGTATTCGATATAGCTTTCATAACCCGCAACTTTTTCCTATTATCGTCGAGCAATTTTTCTGAGATTCTGAACTTCCAGCGAAACCCACCGGGCTGTTCTAATTATAAATTGATTACGTTTCAAATGGGCCACATTATTGAAGCATCAATTTGCCTCTCCCACCATAAAGAGATACGTTCACAATGCCCCCTGCGCGACTATCCCTTTCGGGCGTCGACTAAATCAAATGGCCGTCTCGCTGCTGCGATTTTCAGCCTTGCGTGGGTGCGGAAGGTCGGAAGTCGAGCCACCTCGCTAACAAAGGAGCCAGAAGCCGTGGGGCAGTAGTTACCTAAAAATATAGCGAAGCTAAAAGGTGTGTTTATTCGGAGCTTATTGGTCTCTCCATGGCAACATCGTAATGAGCCGAAACTCTATCCGTATCTTTGTTTGGTAATATTTTCCCCCTCAGACTTGGGTATTATAAATATTCTATATTGACGGTATTTTGTTTGGTTCCTCAGAAAAATGGTCCACAAAAATATAATAAATCTGAAGGGCCAGCTACAAAAGTTGAGATTCGAATGCACTAGCTAGAATATAGAAATTGTGCTTAAAACTCGTTTCTACAAGCATACATGTTTAATCTCTGACTGTTGGCTATATCGAAGTGGCCCCAACTCTGACATTCGTTAATTTGCAATTTGTTTGTTGTTTGCCGTGTCAATTGATCGCCGACCCTCAGTCGGTTTAGTTTTGTGGCAACACCATTCGCCGCCAATGTCAATGTACTAGATTTTTTGTTGCTTAGAAGAGAGGAAGCAGTCATAGATGCTATAGAAAAAAAATGCTCAAGCGCCATCAGGCAATCGAAAAGCATGAAGTTTCACATTCGAAATGATTAACTGAGGTAAACTATAGCTGTGTTACAAACTACGCAAGAGAGGAAACTATGAATTGTTTTTTTTTTTTTAATTTTAATATTAAAATATATATTTACTTCAAGTTACGATAAAATAAACAACAACATTTCCTCCATTCATATCATAATTACTCCATCTTTAAGGCCGCACGGAATTGTATCTCTCTGAGTTTCCATCAAACGCTGAATAATTTAAGCTCATAACCGTTCTACTTAAGAGACTAGTTTCTCTTTACATGTTAATATCTTAGATCGTAAGTTCTTGAACACGTTTCAGAATACATAACTCGTTTTCAAATTAAAAAATATAACCTCTTTTTGTGTCCACTGCGTAATTAGATAAGAATTTTTAGAGCTGTCCGCGAAAGAAATGCAAGACAGTAAATTGCTAACATAACTAACACAAAATGGAAGACGTAGAACTTAGATCAGTTTGTGAACTCAATGCCTACACCGCACTAATGTTATGAAGTTCGTGTGTGCGTAAAAGCTGTGTAAGTGGATATGAAAGTGCACACATATCCAAAACGTGGTGATGCCAATACGAGAAGCACTGGAGCCAATAGCCGGGTCGATAAAGCCAGTTTCCAAAACACATGAACGGTGTAATTCGGCGCACAATCAAACACCGAATTCAGTATGCAACGCCAACAAGAAGGCATACAAAGGGGAGAATTGCCGTAAGCGTTGCGGAGATATTACTTAGCACCAAGATGTACTCGATTATTCGCAATTCGACGTGACAACTCTCAAATCAATCAAAAGTAGGTACTCGATGACAGTTCTATTTTGTGTACTACACAGATTATCCAAGTTTCGTATATTTTATCGATCAAATAATCATGAAATAATATTATTCCCATCATTGCAATAACGGCGCTTGTTTACAGCGATGCTTTTGTATATATTTTATGAGCAGCGTAAAATATGTTTCGGTTAGATAGTGGCTTGTTTACCAGCTATTTGTTATCACAAAATTGAATCCATTTCCCCGCCCCGTTCGGCACACAATGTGAAAAGTGTCGGAGGGAAAGGTGAAGCCAGGCAACTGAATTATCAGCCGCCGCCACCTCTCGCCAACCGACGGCGGACCCCTCCGAAAGCCATTGCCAAATTGAATGATATTCTAATTGAATAATATATCGCGATAGTTCTGTTTATTTCTACTTGGTTAGTGTCTAATGTTTAAAACGTATCTTTTGCTACTTTTATAAGCTTCCTTCTATTTCAGACGACTAAACACGGGTTCCTGTCGTGAGATAATAATACTATTTTTTACTTCTCGTGCCCGATATGACATTTTGCTTAGTCGAGAAAGTTCATTTTTCTTACCATATTGCAAGCACCTTCTCAATTAGGCAAATTAGGAAGGCCATTATGACAACGATAGTGGACAAAGCCGGACGTGATAAATACCATATATACAACTCTCGGCATCGGACTAACATGTTGGCGATGTTTGCTCAATCTCTGGCTGCACTAAGTCTCGATAGCGGGCGTTATGGTGAGTTTCTCGACGCTTCTCTGCTTCCGTAGAACGAGCGACGTCCAACTTTCGCGGTGTATCGGGGAATCAATCGTTCGCCCGAGCTCGGCCCTCTCCGGCACAGCTGGCGCGAACTGTTGCTATGTGCACTCGCTCTCGAGTGCAGCGGACGTGTTCTTACACCGACAGTGCAACTGCGGTCACGAAGACCGCAGACACTCTCTTCGAAAAGAGCGGACGGACGCACAACAGACAGTTATAAAACACATTTGCTATAAAAAGATGATATATGCAAGTTTCACCGTTATTTTCCAGAATAATGTGGTGATTGAGAATCGAAACGATTCGTGTTTATTTATAAAAGAGAAAAGCAATAGAAATGGGCTGTATAAGAATCTGGAAACAAAGCAAAAAGAACAAAGGTTCACTGTTTTGTCCTTAAAACTCGATAGTGGTGGAAGTTAGCTGAGCCTACGTGACCGAACCGATGTACATGCGCACACAGAGGCAGCACTGTTACACCGACGCGCGCATACACGCACACACGCGCAGGCGCGGTTAAGACCCGGCTCCGCTACAGAAAGGCATAACAGGCATCGACCTTCACAAAGAGAATTGTGTATCCGTCGCCGCTATTGCTATAGGAATAGGGGCTGTTTCACAAAACAGCCTCTGATGGCGTTTGCGCCGTTTCGCGTCCATACATTGTAATAGCCCCGTTGCGCTAGAGAGTGCATTTATGGCGGCGCTCTCGCATTGCCAACCTTTTTGTGCTGTTTTTTTATGTGTAATAACTGTTATGTCGTGTTTAGCTCGTCGTTAGCGTTACTAGGTGCCACGCCCTCGCGATATGCATCGCTAATGTTCCTGCGAGGAGTTGTTTCATAAACTTAACAGCAACCCGAAAGGTTTTTATGGCCGGCACCGTAGCGCTTTACAATTAATAGCTTTAAAAGCGCTTCCTTTAAGTCATTTTCACATAAAACACTTAACTTTTTGTAATTTATTTGTGTTAGAAAAATGATAATCAACTAAAAGACTTTGAGATGTAGAATGTCCCCTAGAAACAGTAGCTACAGAATAAAATAAAGGTGAAAGTCCTAACAGGGTCGCCCCAGAAAAAGGTTGCTGATCCCTCTCTGATCCGCGAGCTCGCTTGGTAACAGGCGAATGAAAGCATACAGGCGGCAGGCAAATTTACACTTTGTTCCAACCAAATAAAGTTGCATTTAGTTCAGAAAGTGCTTTGTTATTGATCCAAGCTCCAGCGAAAAACTTACTTTTGTACTTATCGCCTACAAACGATACATGTACTATTTTATTAATTGGTTTAAGCGACAATAATCGTTCAATACACGATTCTATCACGTTGGCGTTACAGTTTAGTTTTCTTTGCTTGTTGCTTCCTTTTTTCTTCAGTTTTTTTGATAATGCCATAAGACGCTTAGACGAGAACAAAGGAGAATAGAGAAGCATTATTAGAAAATTAATATTGTTCCGACATTTGAGATGAGCTCTTTTGTAGGAGTGTTTTGTTGTAATAAAAGAGTTTAAAACAATTGTAATTTTGGTTCAAATAGTTGAATAGATTTTTGTCACAATATGCAGTCAGAGAGTTATGACTCTATCTGGTTTGAACTGTTCTGGACAAAAAATCTGTTCTACAACTAAATCTGACAAATGACATATGGTTTTCAAAGCTTAATCTTATGTGTTAAGAAATACATGGGAAATAGAGGTACCTTTGCAGAAGTCTTGATGAAGACCATTCATGCGAAGCAAGGGATCTCCAAACAGCAATGCCTTAACGCAATGCAATAACTTTAAAATATCGCTAGTGATTCAGAATCAAGCTCATGGCGATTATCATTTATTCCGTCTATTTCCAGAATGGTCTTGTCGTCCGTTCTTTCACAGAATCTTAACGAAACGCAACGACATGAGCACGAACTTTGCGCAATAACGGTCATCAAATGCTCGGCCAAAAATATACGTTCAGATATTCAAGTATATGAAAGGAATAAATTCTATTTTTACGGTGCTTTATATGTATATTCTTAAGAGACGGTATTTGTTTTGTCATTTGTAATTCCTGGGCATTCAGTGTAACTACTGGATAAATAATTAAGAGCGGGCCAACACAAATATAATAAAGGAAGATGGGATGTCAAGGAAGTTTATTACACAATTTATGCAAAAATAAGACAGCTTCTGATTATGTCATGCAAATTAACAATCTTAAAATGATCAAACGATCTGATTAGAAAACTCGTAGTAGCCTTCGGCACTGATGAAACTTTATGATCAATTTGAGCTTTGTGGAATCCTCTGACGAATTCGAGTGAAAAACAACGGACCCTATAATATTTAAGAATCCTTATTTTTTATTTCTCACTTTTGGCAAAGGCGGTTAACAATTTAGAATTATTTAACAATTACAGTTGTGAAATATATATCATATGTATAAACATATTGAAAATCTAAAACAAAAATTTCTTAGTTTATAACGCAACACATATATTAAATTTAAATCGTTTGATTATGTAACATATCGGTATTATTTTATATTTACTGTGTACTCGGTACATGTATGGCCGTTAGGAATATCCTGGACTGGCGGCAGATTAGGATATTGGAAAGTAATAATAGGTTTATTTCGCTGTTTCTCTTTTATTACACTGATTCGAACTCGCGATCTTGGATTGAAAGTCCGATGTTTCAGACGTACAAGTTGACTACGTAACGAAATAGTATCACTGTGGCGTTCGAATCCGGACTTAAATTTTCGGTAGTGGGGTTCCGTATAAAATCAATTACACGTTCGAATTAGTTGTGTATCCAATCCAGTTTTTAATTAGACACAAACATGTGGGCCCGGAATAAAACTCCAATGTAATAAAGTCTAACATTAGTCAAATAAAAAAAAAACTAAAAAGC